GGGGGCGGGGCCGGGGCGGGGGCGGGGCCGGTTGGCTTGGGCGGAAGCCGCGGCTGCGGGGCTCGCGAGGAGCTGGAGCTGGACCTCCCCGAGGCTACGGATCACCTCCCTTCCCGAGACCCCCGGGGCAGAGAATCCCTCCACTCCCACACCTGAGAAGCCGACAGAACCAAGGAGCCATCTCTTTTGAGCAGGCGAGGCCTCCAACAGCTTCCCTGGAAGTCTCCTTGATTAGTACAGAGCTGCGTCCACTCGTGTTCAATTTAGCTTTGAGGGGCGAGGTAAGCAGTTAAACAAAGATCAATTAAAGCTGGAGGATTATCAGAGAACTAGGGCCACGGAGGCGGTCTCTTATTTTGGCTTTGGGGAGAGAACTTCCCAGGAATTTTCCTAGAAGAAGTCACATTCAAGCTGAGACTAGGAGGATGAGTTGGGATTAGTTGTGGAAAGTGCCAGAAAGACTGCGCGCAGTGGCTTGCATCTGTACTCCCAGCTATTCAGAAGACTGAGGTGGGAGGATCACTTAAGCCCAGTTTGAGGCTGCAGTGAGCCAGGATTGCACCACTGCATTCCGGCCTGAGTGATGGAGCGGGACACTGTCTCTGAAAAAAGTGCCAGAAGGCATTTCAGGTGATGGAAACTGCCTGTGCAAAAACTCCAGAGACCGAGAGGGCTTGGTGAGTTTGGGAAATGGCAATAATAGTAGCTCCCATCACTCACTGGGCACCTGCACACAGAGCACTGAGGTCTGCACAGACAGTATCTAGTTAGTTCCCACAGCACCCTCTGAGAGTCTCAGAACCTCCCAGCTAGTGGCTGGCGTGGCTGCGAGTTGAACCAGGCCATCTGACACTAGAGTCCTTGGTAATAATCAGTATGGCTGGTGCATCAACAGTGGGTGCAGAGGGCAGCCTCTCCTGAGCTAGAAGGCCTCCAAGGGGCAGGGTCCAAGCTCAGCTCCCAACTCTGTTCCCAGACAGCCCACCTCCTCTCTCCTGCCCTCCTTCACCCTGTAGGCTAGAACACCACCTGGATTCTAATGGCAATGATGCCAGCTGTTTCTCTCCCAGAGTCAAGCTGCCTCCTGGTGGCTGAAGCCCCTCTTCCTCAGGTGGGCCTGGGTTTTGGGAGTGGTGGTCACTGCTCTTGCTTAAGGCCTCACTGTTCCTGTCCTATCGTTGTTCTGGTTGTCAGTCACAGGCTGGGAGGCCACGGTCAGAGCCTCAGGGTTGCCATCTGAGTTTGCCCTCCAGTCCAGTCACTTCTGTGCTGTGGGCCAAAGCCAGTCCCTTCCCTTCCTGTTTCCCATTTGGGAAATGGGACTTTGGACCTGGGGCACCCAAAGCGCCCCCGCCTGGACACTCCGGGGTACAGAGGAGTAGCCCTCCTCCGGGAGTCCTCAGGGCCTCCACACCAGGCCAGGTGGGGAAACTGAAGGCCAGACTCATCCGGAAAGGATGTGGGAGTAGCTAGAACAGGGTGAGGGCCCTTGTGGGTTTGTGTCAGAGACAGGCTGTGGGTTTGTGCCTGGCAAGGGCAGGCCAGCGGGGCGGAGGGGAAGGGGAGGTGGGCAGGAAGAAAGGGGGCTGAGAATTGGATTGGCAGTCCCTTGTGGCTTCCTGGCTGGCAGCTGGTTCTACCCCCAGGTACTGCTTGGCAGTGTCTCCAGTCTCCCTGTGCCTTGGTATTTGCCCCAAAATAGGATCTTAGAGCTGGGATTCCTTGTGAGGGAATCTGGTCCTCAGCCATTGTAGGAATCTCTGCCTCAGAGTTTGTTCCAGCAGCATCCTGCCATATGTTTATTCCCATCCAGTGACAGGGAGCTCACCACTTCTGCTGGGGAGTCTTCCAGGATACAGGGAACCTTGGTGGCTGACTCTGTAATTCCGGCCGGTAAAGTGGGAGTTCCAGATCAGGGCCTGACCTCCCCCTTCAGAAAGAGAGAGGCAGGCAGCAGAAGAGGACACCGGGGCCCAGGGGCGCTGTGTAACCCAGCAAGCTGATCCCAGATTCAGGGCCTAGGAGAGGCTTGGTGGCCACCTGTCCAGTCTCCACTCGATCCCTGCAGGAGCTGGAGCTGGTGGAGAGCCTGCTGAAGAGCAGACCAGAGGAGCCCGAGGGCTGCTGGGAGACACGCAGTGTGGGGGCCGGGGGCCCGCGGGGCAGCTCAGGCCGCCAGGAGCGCAGCCGGCTGCCCTGGGAGGACACAGCTGCCACCGAGGAGGAGGCCTCCAAGTTGACCGCCCTGCGGCTGCGGCTGGATGAATCCCAGAAGGTGCTGCTCAAGGAGCGAGAGTGAGTCTGATGGGGAGACTGGGGGCGATGCCAGACCACACGGGGGCACCCTCAGCATCACAGAATGAAAATCACTGTCACGAAAGGTGAGACTCGCATAGGTGATGGGTACCGTTTAGGTTTGAGTCTCGGAACTTTAGAGCAGTGGTGTTCCACCTGAGGACCCAGTGTTTTATTCATTCAGGTAATACAGTTCAGGCATGCGCTGGGCCGGGCACTGTGCTCAGCCAACACTGAGGATATGGCCAGAAATAAGACAGAAGCCCTGCCTTCATGGAGCTCATAGTCTAGTGCAGGGAGTAGGCTGTGGGCAAGGCGAAAGCAGGGATGGGTGACCAGGGAGTTGGGGAATTGGTTTGGGGAGCATGTTTGAGATGGCACGGAAGTGGTGGGGGCCGTGAACGGGAGTCTGGGGTTCATGAGACAGGTCTTGGTTGGAGGTAAAAATGCAGGAATCATCAACGAATAAATGACACTGAAAGCTCCAAGCCAGGGAGGGCAGAGGAGCAGATGTGGAAAGGGAAGAGGTCAGAGGAGGGAGCCTGGAGTGTCAAGTTCAGAGCTTGATTAGAGGAAGGGGAAACAGTGGGGGAGACAGGAAAAGGGGGCCAGGGAAGGAGAAGGGGAACCAAGAGAATCTTTCACAGAGGATGGACGGATCAGCTGATCAGGAGAGGGCTGAACCCTGAGCTTTGGATTTAGAACGTGAAAGTCACCAGTGACCTCGATTAGGACAGCTTAGAGGGCGCAAGCCTGATGATAATGAATAGTTTGCAACTTTTCTGCTCAGAAATTAAATACATAGTGTGACCTATCTGTATACTTTTTTTGAAGTCAATATAGTGCCCTTGAGAAAATGAGGGCACAGATCAGGGTGACGCTTCTATGGGCATTGTTGCTTCTTTGGCCAAGGAATACCAGAGATTGCCAGAAAACCACCAGAAGCCGGGGGGAAGGCATTGGACAGATTCTCCATTACAGCCTCAGAGGGAGCCAGTCCTGCTGACACCTTGATCTTGGGCTTGTAGACTCTAGAACTATGAGAGAGCAAGTTTATGCTGTTTAAACCAAACAAACAAAAAGTCAACTGAGCATACTAACTGAAGTATAAAGTAGAAATTAAAGAAACTCCTGGACTCAAGCAATCCTCTTGCCTCAGCTTCCCAAAGTGCTGGGATTATAGGCATGAACCACAGCATCTGACCTACAGTGTAAATTGAGGAAAGACTGCACATTTCTTTGTCAACCGAGCACACTAACTGAAATATACGTATTATGATAGGGAAGTATCTGCACACAGCTCCTCTGGGAGAAGTAATGAAGTTGTCAGAAGAAATAATGAAGTGCCTCCCCATGGGATGCTAGTGATGGTAGTCATAGCAGCAAACACTTTCGTGTCACCGGCTCCAAATCATGCCTGAGTCAGACCTTCCAGGACAGCTACAAAGGAAGCTAGCGACTTAAGTACACAAGGGGTGTCACTGTGGTGATGAGGTTTCCTGAGAGATGAACTTTGATAAAATTCTGAACAAAGAACAAAGAAAAGTGCAGTCTTCCCTCAATTTATACCGTAAGCTATGTGCTGTGGCTCGTACCTATAATCCCAGCACTTTGGGAGGCCGAGGCAAGAGGATTGCTTGAGCCAGGAGTTTGAGGCTAGCCTGGGCAGCATAGTGAGACCTCGTCTCTACAAAAAATTAAAAAATTAGCTGGGCATGGTGGTACATGCCTGTTAGTCATAGCTACATGGGAGGCTGAGGAGGGAGGATAACCTGAGCCCAAGAGGCAGAGGTTGTGGTAAGCTGTGATCATGCCACTGCACTCCGGATTGGGCAACAAAGTGAGACCCCGACTTAGGAAAAAAAAAAAATGATACAGTGACTTCATTCCTGGGAAATTCAGTGTATGTCAGTACAAAAGACCTTTCTGTTTATGTGTCCGTCTGAACAAAGTTCTGCGCTCAGATCACTTCCACCTTCATCGGTGTTCCTGTCCCCAATAATGCAGACATTCATGCCCTCAGTAGAATGCAGGATACTTCCTGATGGGTGAGATGTCCTGGGCATTGTAGGGAGTTAGGCACCCCCAGCCCCTGCCCACTAAATGCCCTAGTCATTGTGATAACCAATGACGTCTCTGGGGCTTTCCAACATGCCTCCTAGAAGGTGACACTATCCCCTATGAGAACCCCATGTTGGAGGTGTGGAAAATTCCATGCACAGAAGGGAGATTGTAGGGTCATGACACATGGTGTGCTGAGCTCAGCCATTTGTGAGTGCCTGCTGTGTGCAGGAGCCAGGCACAATGTTGTTACCTGTAGCACCTCATTCAAGTTCAAGGCAGAGTGCAGGGTGGGGTCATAGGAGAACATGGGGATTCTACACAGTGATGATGGCAAAGGGGGGTGCACTGGACAGTGTCTTCTAACGGGTTCCTGGGCAGCGTCTTCCAGTTTTTCTATCTGTAGAAGCTTGTGTTCAAACCAAGCCTCACAGGGAGCCACAGTATGCAAGCATGGGGGAATAGATTGGCCCTTGACAGAGAAGCCTGGTGTCCAATGGGATGGGGCGCTTGCCCGGGGTTGCCCAGTGCGCTGGACACCTGACCTCTCTACACACGCGGTGAGCGGGGCACCTGCTCTTGGGAGAGGTCTCAGCTCTAGAAGAAACACAAAGTTGGGGTGCTTGCCACAGCAGGGGCTGTCGGAGCCTGAATGCCGAGGCCAGGACTTTGGACATGGGCCCAGCAGGTGCAGCGCGCACAGCAGGGCCACCCTTGGTGAGGACTCCAGGCAGAGGGCCCAGCGGCCCACCCATGTCTCTCCCTCCCCCAGGGATAAGCTGGCCCTGAGCAGGAACATTGAGAAGCTGGAGGGGGAGCTCAGCCAGTGGAAGATCAAGTACGAGGAGCTAAGCAAGACCAAGCAGGAGATGCTCAAGCAAGTGAGTCTTGGAGACCCAGGGGCTTCCTGGAGGCGGCAGCGTCTTACTGTTGAATTCCAGCAGTGGGGACAGGGGAGAGAATAGAATTCATTCATTCAAGGGTCCCTGCCTTCAGGAGCTCATCACGAGGGGGCCATGGACAGGAAAGACAGGCAGGCAGATTTGCCTTGGAGTCCTCACCAAGGCAAATCGGTTCGCAAGTCATGAAGGAGTCAAGACGCCGAGAGAGATGGGGTGTGGGCCAGGGAAGGCCTCTCTGGGAGGCGACGTGAGGGGCGAGACCCAGAGAGACTAGAAGAAGCCATCCTTGAGAAGAAAAGAAGATATAGCGGCAGAGTGTCCCTGGGAGGGACACCACAAGTGCAAAGGTCATGAGGCAGGAACACGCCTCGCGCCTGTGGGACCCAGAGAAGACCATTGTGGCTGGAGGCAGTGAGTGAGAGGTGAGGCCGCTAGGAGGGCTGAGAAGGAAGCTGGATGTGGCATTCATTGGGTGCCTAGCGTGTTCCAGGTGTCCCTGAAGCCTTGTGGCAGTCCCCATCTTATAGATGAGGAAACAGGCTCCAGAGACGGGAGTCCACCACTGTAGTGTAGGGGCTCAGGGTGGGCCAGGCTGCCACTACTGCCTCCTGTGCAGGCCTCAGTGGCCACCAGAGGGCGCAACCACCCAGGGAAAGCCGAGCTGCTGCTGCCGTGTTTCCAGAAGGTGGGAGGATTGCCAGAAACTGCCCTGGAAGGGAGGGAGACTAGTCTTACGTAGAATCTCTTGGGAAATCTCCTAAGATCCCACTACCACCCTCCTGAATCAGCACTCTTGGAGATTGGGTCCTGGAGCCTGCCTTTTTTATGTTTTCAAAATGTGAGGTTACAGTCATTTGAAGAAAATTGAGTGGAGCACGAATGTGCACTTGAATAGAAAATTATAAATTAAGGCTGGGTACAGTGGCTCATGCCTGTAATCCCAGCACTTTGGGAGGCCAAGGCAGGAGGATCGCTTGAACCTAAGAGTTCGAGACCAGCCTAGGCAAGATAGTGAGACTTTGTTTCTACAAAAAATTAAAAAATGAGCCAGACATGGTGGCATGCTCCTGTAGCTACTCAGGAGACTGAAGCAGAAGGATTGCCTGAGCCCAGGAAGCCAAGGCCGTGGTAAGCTATGATCATGCCACTGTATGGCTGACAGAGTGACACCCAACTCAAAAAAAAATTTGTAAATTTCCGGGTGCAGTGGCTCATGCCTGTAATCCCATTGGAAGGATGAGCAGGAAGGTCACGTGAGCCCAGGATTTCAAGACTGCCTGGGCAACATAGAGAGACCCTGTCTCTCCACAAAAATAAAGATGAAAAAAAAACCTACTGTAATGGTGCGCACCTATAGTCCCAGCTACTCAAGAGACTGAGGTGGGAGCATCATCTGAACTCAAGAAGTCGAGGCCGTGGTGAGCCATAATTGTGCCACTGCGCTGCAGCCTGGGTGACAGAGTGAGACCCAAACTCAAAAAAATCAACAAATTAATTAAAAGGTTCCCTTTTGGTCAGGTGTCTGTGCCTTGATGTTACTGTTGAAGACTCGTCCTTGTGGTTGCCTGAAACAGCACTTTGTAGGCTTTTGCTACTATACAGCAAGGAACTGTATCATCTTAAAAGCACCCCAAGCAATTCTGATGCGTGTATATTGAGGGCTCTCTCATGCCAAGGCCACACAGGGGACATAAAGGTGGACAGACAGACAAGTTCCCTGTCCTCCCAGGCTAGCTCTCTAGTGGGGAGTGGGATGAGGGGGCCCCTCTTCTAGGCCAGGTAAACAGCAGAGGCCTCCCTAAGGAGGGGGCATTTAGGCCATGGCCTGGAAATAAGAAAAGACAGTCTGCAAAACACTTAAGAAAAAGTATTCCAGGCAGAGGGAACTGCATGTGCAAAGGCCCTATGGTGGACAGGAACTTGATGTATTTGAGGAATAGAAAAGAGTTTGCTGTGCCCAGAGCATAGTGAGCTAAGGGGAGAGAGGTGGAGATGAGGCTGATGAGAGGTGGGTGGAGGTCCAGTCCTGCAGGGTTTTGTGAGAACTTAGAGAGGAGTTGGGCCCTATCCTGAAGTGCCTGGGAGCCATCAAAGGAGCTTTCATGGAGGGTGGGGCATACAGTTGAATTTATCTTTTTTAAAAGCTCCCTCTGGGCTGCTGGTGTGGAAAATGGGTGGGCAGAGGGGCTGAGAGCAGATCCTAGGGGCTACATGGCCATGAGGCAGGGGTGAGAGACATTGGAAATGGCGGAAGTGGTCAGACTCTGGGTCTGTTCTGAGCACCTGGTGCCTGCCTGTCTGGGCGCCGCCCCAGACTCCCGACTGTGCACACCTGCACCAGCGCCCACTCCCAGAGCTGGCTCCAGGACATGCCCTGGTGGCTTCCGTGGAACCAGGCCAGCCGTGTCCTTGCAGCTCAGCATCCTGAAGGAGGCGCACCAGGACGAGCTGGGCCGCATGTCTGAAGACCTGGAGGATGAGCTGGGCGCACGGTCCAGCATGGACAGGAAGATGGCCGAGCTGAGGGGCGAGGTGAGGCAGCCCGCACCTGGAGCTTGGGGGGCTTGGGACCCTTGCCGCCATCAGCGGGTGTTGGAAAGGGGCAGGAGCCAGGCCCATGCTCCACGGGGACCCGACCACGTCCCAAGGGTGCCCCATCTGCGTGAGGTGGATCTCTTTCCAGAGACCAGAAGCACCCCCGCATCCTGCACACTGAAACGAGCCCAGTTAATTATAGCCGCTGCAGCTGGATCTGCTTCCTGGAGCCAAAAATGGCTCCAGGAGGTGGTGGGGGCATCCAGCCGGGCCTCTGTGCCCCCCTCCCTTGGGAGTCCTCGCACTATCCTGTTGCAGATGGAGCGGCTGCAGGCCGAGAATGCAGCCGAGTGGGGCCGCCGGGAGCGACTGGAGACGGAGAAGCTGGGCCTCGAGCGGGAGAATAAGAAGCTGCGGGTGCAGGTCGGAGACCTGGAGGAGGCCCTGGCTCGGCGGCGGCGGCAGACAGCCAGTGTGCTGGACTGTGACCTGCGTGCCAGCCAGGCCGCGCTCTTCGAGAAGAACAAGGTGCGGCAGAGAGCTGAGTGGCTGGCGCTGGGGTGGCTGCCTCTCCATCTGGCAAAGCACAGCCTCTACTATGTGCCAGCCCTGGTGATAACTACAGCAGCTGCATTTGCTGAGTACCCACTGTATGCTAGGCCAGTTGATCATTATAGTATAGTAGCCACATTTATTGAGCACGTACTGTGTGCTGGGCCTAGCGATAATTATAGCAGAGTTGCATGTCTCAAGCATCTACTGTATGCTGGACCCATTGGTAATTATAGTAGCTGCATTCACTGAGTGCTTTCTGTGGGCAAGGCTCCATGCTAGGTGCTAGGATACAGCAGTGAACAGACAGATGTGGTTTCCCCACCTCCCTCTCTTGAAGCTATGTATATTCTATATATATGGCTCAGGGGGGTACACACATGGTTCTCTCCATCTCACAGACTCCTACCAATTACACAGCTCCATGGTTGTGCACAGAAAGGGGGACGTCAGAGGACCTGGCTGAGGCCCAGGATTGTGGGAAGGCTTCCTGGAGGCAGTGACATTTCGAGCAGATGTTAGCTTGTGGTGAATGGATCTGGGGAGGGGATGGAGAGAACTTGGGGACAGCATGAATAGATGCCCACAGTGAGAGGGACGTGGAGCTTCAGAGGAACAAGGAGGCCAGTGTGCTGGTAGGGTGTGAGCAAGGGGGACGTGGCAGATGAGGCAGGGGCTGTGGACCACCTCGGAAGAGGTTAAAGCGAGAGGCTGTGAGCAGGCTGTCTTGTGGATGGAGGACGGGAAGGCAGGCCGGGGGAGGTTGTTGATGTTCCCTGGCCAGCAAGAGATGTTGGGGACCTGGGCCAGACTGTTGTTGATAAAGGTGGAACAAACAGGATGGATTCAAGAGACCTTTCGGTGGTGCTTGTCCCCATTTTACAGATAGGAAAACTGAGACTCAGGGAACTCACAGACTCAGGGTTGGGCTGCTCCTCCCCATCCCAGCCACTCTGGCTCTGATCTGTTTTCTGCCAACACTCACTCCCCTGCTTAGTTCAGCTCTACCCCAGAACTTTCAGTTTCATTAGATACCATGGAAAACACCAGACCTCTTCCACCCCAGAAATACTGGTTGCTCCAGCAGCCCAGGTCATGTGTAGTAGGCACCTGAGGCTGCACGTCCAACTGGGGCCCCAGGCTGTACACACCTGGCCCTCTCGCCTCCCCAGACGGCCCTCCAGCCTCCAGCTGCTCAGCCAAACCTCTGAGGCAGTACTTCAGACAGCAGGTGGAGAGACTCCGGGAGGAGGCACCAGCACCCCAGGGCTGCCTGGCCCCATGAACTCCCTGGCATGGTGCCCAGGCCAACGCTGAGCCCTCCCTCCTGCCCCGTCTCTGCCCTCCCGCCCAGGAGCTGGCGGACCTGAAGCACGTGCATGGCAAGCTGAAGAAGCAGTTTCAGGAGAAGGTGGCAGAATTGGCCCATGCCAACCGGCGGGTGGAACAGCATGAGGCCGAGGTGAAGAAGCTGCGGCTGCGTGTGGAGGAGCTCAAGAAGGAGCTGGCCCAGGCGGAGGATGAGGTGCGGGCAGGGGGCCGGGGCGGGGATGGGAAGAGGGCAGGGGCCCAGAGTGAGGACTAGGTGAGGGGAGGGGCGCCCAGCTCGAGTCTCAAGCAAGAGCAGGGGGCCTCCTGGGTTACTCCATGCTGCAGTCCCTGTGCCTGGCACCAGCCTGACTCTCAGGAGGCATCTAGGTAGAGGGGGCAGGTGGGCGATAGCTGGATGTCCACCTGTGGGTGGAGGGATGGAAGGAAAATGGACAGGCGAGGTGGCTGTGTAGACGGTTGAATGGAAGGACAGAGGACTCTATGGATGGAAGAATTGATACCTGAAGGAGTGAGTGGACGGATGGATGGGTTGGAGAGTGGATGGGTGGATGATGGATGGGCAGTTGGTGGACAGATGGACGGACAGCTGACTGCAACAGTGGGCGAGAGAAAGAGTGGAGAGAAGCAAAGGGTAGACTGAGGGGAAGTAGGGGTGTCTGGATGAGAAGGAAGGTACGTGGACAAGATGGGGGCTGATTAGATTAATTGATGGTGAGTGAGTGGGTGGGTATCCCCATGGCCAAATGGGCAGACGGACAGGCTGACAAGATCGGGTGGGGGATGGATGGCTAGATAGGTAGTCCAGGTAGATTTTGAGGAAGGCACCAGGGATGGAGAGGAACAGAGGGGATGCTTCCCTGGAGGAGGTGGGCCTTGGTCTAGGCCTCACCAAGCAAACATTCCCAGAGCTGAGCGGTAGGAGTAGCTGGGTCCGGATTGGGGGGCAGACCAGGCTGCCCCCCCAGGGTGACCCTCTGCTCTCGGCCCTGCTCACCCCCAGCTGGATGAGGCACACAACCAGGCGCGGAAGCTGCAGCGGTCGCTGGATGAGCAGACGGAGCAGAGTGAGAACCTGCAGGTGCAGCTGGAGCATCTGCAGTCCAGGTAGGGGCCCCGGGACTGCGTTCCAGCGGGAGAGGGGACACGGGGTGGGGGGGATTGCAAGGCCTCCAGGGCTGGAAGAGAAGCCAGAAAAGGGGGAGTCCATGTGCCCTGGGGCCAGAATCCTGGCCTCTCCAGGCAGGAAGGGCCAGGGCCAGGAAACCAGGGAAGGGGGTGCAGGAAGTCAAGCCAGCTGGGGCCCTGGAATTGTCTCTTCCAGCAGGAGGACTGATGGGCGGTACGAGAGCAGGAAGGGTGGCTGGAGAGCTGGGACCCAGGAGTGGGGGCAGTGGGCGGGGCCAGTGGGGCTAGAGAGTCATTGACAAGCATGAGCAGTCCCCAGGGTCACAGGGCTGGGGTGACCTCAGGACAGCAGGAAAGTGTGGCAGGGCCCTAGCCCTGCTGACAGGATGGCCCCTCAGCTGCCCCCAGGACCCGCCAGCATACTCTGCCTCCCTCCCCCGCCCCCATCCTGCCCCTGCACTCTGTGAATCACTCCCTCTCCCTGCACCTCTCCTAGAGCCCGAAGATGTCAGAGAGCTTCAGGTCCAAGCCCTGCCCCATTTCACAGAGCCACGGCATCAGAGCCACGGCATCAGAGCCACAGAGCTGACCAGCGCTTGCCGCGCCAGGCTGTGGCCAAGCATTTACTTGCATTCTCTTATTTCATGGAATAGAGGGTGCCCAGGTTCTGCCACCAGCCTCCTTAACCTTTGTCAGTTTCCTCATCTGTAAAATGAGGATGATAACAATTCCTTTTTTTTTTTTTTGAGTTGGAGTCTCACTCTGTCGCCCAGACTGGAGTGCAGTGGCTGGTTCCGGCCCCCACAACCTCC